ATCACATTCCACATTCGTTTGTCATCAAATAATCCAAACAGACCACTTCTTTCATTGGGTGAGAATTGCTTTCAGCTTTTGATGCAGTTAATTTCAAGCGATAAAATGTCAGCTCTGCACCACTATCCATCCAATTAAATCAACTCAATGTACAACAAATTTCTTTTCTCAACTCAAACACAAATTCAAACAATCTCATGCAATCCAGTCCAATCACTGTGTTTTTCTTTATTTCCTCAAGAAGTTTATTCTCAAATAAAGTCATCTCGTGAAGCCGATTTGTTCATTTCGATAGAATCAACAAATAGGTTTTTGTTTTTGGTTTTGTTCTCGTGCACACAAATCTAACAATAGGACAGACGCGTCTTAAGACAAACACCTGCCAACAGCAACAGTTTACTAGTTTCAACTTTAGTTAATGATTTCTCATCTATCCATTCCGGCTCACATTCAGCGCAAAAAAATTTACTGCAATAGTCTCCGTTAGTTTTTTGATCGGAACAATGATCATAATCAATCACTGAAACGGCGAATTATAGTAAACGTGTAAAACAAGAGACGAAATCAGTACGGTAACTGTGCAGTGCGATTGTTCTTTGCGTATCTCTCTGTGTGCTCCTCGAATGATGACACCTAACTCATTCATCACCTATTTCCTCGAATCAGCACCAATTACAATCCTATCAAAAAATCTGGTGCTGCGTTAATGTTGAATCAAAGAAAAACTACGGAAAAAAAAACGGAGTTATCAAACAAAGAATAAATAATTTCATTCTAGCACCTTACCAGCTAACCGAAAAAATCTAATTTACCCAGTGCTCATCTCTAAACAGGTTCTTCTAAAATCAGTGCTCACAATATAGATCCTATCTAACGGTAAGGTTTACTGATTTTATACTGCTGATTTTCACTCACAAAAAAAGATATTACATGCTTTCTACACTGATTTTACACTCCCAAAAAACAGATATTTGATACTTCCAGCATTGCTCCAATCAATTTCTATTCGTAATTTCTGCACATATTCCTCAACAAGTCTTAGTTCTGATTCAATTTCCAAGTGTTTCAATGATTTTCTCCATCAATAGGAAAGAGGGAATGAGGACATCATCTCCAATTATCGCTCAATCCAATCATATCGGCAATATCTAATGATCCATTTGATAATTTTACGAAGATGTCGTTCGCTCACAATTTAAAACATCATTCGCAGCACCCAAAAAAAGCATGCAAAAACACTCACTGTTATGAACGGCTGTTTTTCGTAGTCGAGTTCTCTTGAGGTGAATACGTCCCCACTACTCGAATCAATATTAAACCATCCGTCATCGGTTTCATTATCGACTGGCTGAAAATTCACTTTTCAATCAACCTCCACATAAGCTCCTCGTTTTGTGATCGTTCCCTCAGCACCTCCGAACATATTATCAACAATTTCATTCGAATTCCTCCGAGCATACTCAGCATATTTCCGACTATTTTATCAGAACTCCTGAGCATATCGTTTACGTGTAATAGAATTTGAGAATGAAAAAGTGTGAAAGTGTTGAGCGGAATCAATTCCGATGCTCAACTCACCGTGATTGAATATTTGATTTCTCTTTCGAATTGGTCATTGAATCCACCAACTCGAGCTTGAACCGTGTAAACGCGCCGATTTGCCGGTGTATTCTTAAAGCAAAACTCATAAAAACTTTTGAAAGGGATAAAATTTTCAGATTTTGCAAAAATATTGAACAATTAACTTTGAGAGTGTCAGATTATACCAAATCTAATTGTAAGTGAGCCTATTCGGTTTGCATAAAGCTTAAATCGGATATCAACTGAAAAATGGATGAACCTCATCGAGTTCAAGCACGAAGTTGATCGGTGGTGTGGATATGTGAATTTCCTTATCGTCTCCGTCTCGACTCAGCGAAGTTGATTCCAAAACTCTTACGCTGATCGTTGCAGTAGAATTTAGAGGCGGTACTCCTAAGAACAAATCGATCAACGATCAAACCAAATTCAGGTGGAAAGAATTCGATTTTTCAACCTAATGAAATTCTATTTCAGTTCTGAAAAATCAACAAAAACTCATAACGATCAGACATAACTTCACGATTTTCGAAAGATCTAAAAAAAACCTCTATCGACAGCAGTAACGATGAGTTGATATGGCTGAGCTCGAGCTAAGCCTATCAGTGGTCGAACCGTTCGGACGACACCAGTTTCTTCATCAATCTCGAAATCTAGAAGCACATTCTCGAAATGAGATCAACTCAACAATGCGATTTGACAGGTACGCTCGTAAGACTGATAACTTTGACGTACCCTCGTAATTTCATTGCGCAAAAATTACTTCAAAAATTTACATTCTCGTTAAATTCTCTTCACAAAACCGAACTGCACAAAACCTGTAAATTACTGACATCGTTCGCCGTTCTGCAAGAGCGAATATTCAATTCGGCCGTTCTCGCCACTGTCTTTATCCACTGCATTCACCATCGTTATCACTGTTCCAGCAGGCCAGTTCTCAACGGCTTCAATTTTGTATTGGTTCGGTGAGAAAACTGGAGCGTTGTCATTTACATCCATTATACGGACCACAGCCTGCATTATTCAAACGTTCGCCATTCACTTACAGGAATGGAAATAAATTATTGCAAGAAAACAACTGGAAAAAATCGTAGGAGAAGAGCAAATTTGAATGATTCTTCTTGTTAGAATAAGAAAAACTATAGGAGTCATCTAAAGAGAATCAAATTACTGCGCAAAAACATTTGTTCTGATAAGAAATACGTAAGAAAATTCGTGACAATGTACCTACCGCTGCACTATCGCTATTGCCACCAGAATCGTCCACTCTCAACACAATGAACATTTCCGTCGATTTCTCATAATCCAAATCAGCTGCCGGTGACACAATCACTGCAACTGTTTCGTTTATCTGAAAGAAGTCCACTGTTAACACAAAATACGACATTTTTCCGATGAGTCAAAAGCTTCAATCGTGAAAATTTATCGTGTTATGCACACTACTACTGGACTTCATTTAGAACTCAGACGTTTTGCTCAAACTTATTGAATTATGGAATTTTCACGTTAAATGATAAGTGATTGACCTGTTTCACTTGAAAATTTGATGCTCCTTCACCGCTGAGCGAATACTTGAATAGATCCTTTTTACCGTACAAATAATCTGCGTCCGATATGTGCAAC